ATATTAATTTTGTCATTCCGTTTGTAACTCCTCGAAATACTCATGTCAGACCCAACAAAGTATATATATTCTTGATCAGCGTAAAATTCTAAGACGATTTAGCCATGTCTGTCTGTCTGTCTGTCTGTCTGTGTGTCTGTCTGTCTGTTGTAATCACGCTATCTTTCGAACAAATTGAGATAGAAGGCTAAAATTTTGCACACATGTATATTTTGTCAGTAGGCAGGTGAAGTTCGTAAATGGGCCATGTAGGTCCAAGTTATCATATAGCCCCCATATAACGGTACCTCCCGATATTCGGTATTTTGATGATTTTAGCGACATTATTCACCGGAATTGTTTCCAATTTGGCATTTGAAGTTCGTGGTGGATACTACAGCCTAAGACAGAAAATTATCTGTGCAGGTTGACGTCTTCGTGTATCCCCCATATAACGGTACCCCCCGATATTCGGTATTTTGATGATTTTAGCGACATTGTTTACCGGAATCGTTTCAAATTTGGTATTTGAAGTTCGTAATGGATACTACATCCTAAGTCAAAAAATGAGCCATGTAGGTACACGTCTTTATATAGCCCCCATATAACGGTACCCCCCGATATTCGGTATTTTGATGATTTTAGCGACATTATTTAACGGAATCGTTCCAAATTTGGTTTTTTAAGTTCGTAATAGATACTGCAGTATAAAACAGAAAATGGGCCATGTAGGTCCACGTCTTCATATAGCCCCCATATAATGGTATCCCCCGATATTCGGTATTTTGATGATTTTAGCGACATTATTTACCGCGATTGTTTCAAATTTCGCATGTGAAGTTCGTAATGGATACTTCAGCCCATGCCAGGAAATTGTCTGTGCAGGTCCACGTCTTCGTATAGCCCCCATATAACGGTACCCCCCACATTCGGTATTTTGATGATTTTAGCAACATTATAAACAGATTTTTCTTCAAGTTTCGCATTTAAATATTGTAATAACTTATTTAAAAGTTGCCTATGCAGGTCCACGTCGTCGCATAAACATTCGGTATTTTTAAGATTTTAACAGAATTTTTAACGGATTTTATTTATTTATTTATTTATTTTTTTTTTTTTTTTTTTTTTTGAAAATTGCCAAATTTGTACCAAATGGTGGAGGGTATTAAAAGTTCGGCCCGGCAGAACTTACTGCTTTTTTACTTGTTTTCTACCTAATTAGCCTTGTCAATCAAATGTCAAATACATTGACAGGTTTTTTTTCCTGCCAAATGCGGCAACAAGTTTTGTTTTTGATATAAAGGAAAGTTTTGCTAGCAAACATGAACAAAAACAAAAATTTTCCAATATTTATTGTCAGTTCCTTTACAAAACTGCTTGCTGCTCTTAATTGCGAATTTGATCCTAATTAATGTAGTTCTTGTCAGGAATATAATCTAATCTATCGCATGTCCTTAATTCAATATTGACTTCAAAATTTTAAAAAACATCAAAACTAGATATCTATTTCAAATCGTGCGTTCCATCAAATAAGATAGTCACGAGAATCTCCAATAAATTAAAAAGTGATCAGCCATAGAGAATACCGTTTTACATAACATCAATAAAACTACTAGAATTAGACCAGATAAAAAATCGCTCACTTGCAGTCATTCATTAAGCCAATTGAATACTTTAAAGTCTTCGTCATACATTTTAAATTACTTGATGTAATACAGTCATGTTTGTATTAATTGTTGTTGTTTTTGTAACGACAGTCAAAGAGGAACTAGTGGAAAAGAGACTGAAATAGATGCCCTTCAACTACATATGGATTGGAGAGGTCGCTAAGCCTATTAGCAAAGCAACTTAAGTTACCAAGTAAGGAGAAGTTAGTGAGGGTAAAACGGGAAGATTATTTTACTAAACCTAAAATGCAAGAATTTAGAAAGGAAGTAAAGTTGGAAAATGCCTATGGAAAGACTAAGAAGCTATATTGAATTTTTTTAAAAGCTTGGAACACCATATGTGCAGATGTCAATGGTAAGTAACATTTTCGAACCAAAATTCATTCTGAATGAATATATGTAACTTACATACAGGTATTATGTTTTTGTACATTTGTTGTTACATAAAGAAGGAAACGAAGTAGAGCCAAAGTCGCTTCAAATACTCGTCATATAATCCGTTTCTTTGTGGATTGATGAATGTCTGTCTATTTTTTGTAGGAAAGAGGTCGTATTTACTTCTTACATAATTAAATCTTGACCTTCCAATTAATTTTAAATTTCGGTGTCAACGCAAAACATTGAAAAACGGGACAAACGTTGATTTTTCTTAAGCTTTATAAAGAGTAGATTACACTTGATGTTAGAATCATATGCAAAGTGATCTTTTCCACAGTTGTCTTTACCATTTTTACAGCATACTTTTGAACGCTTTTCAGAATTTATAATATTAAATAATCTTATTTATATTATTATACTAAAGGGTGATATAAAACACGGCAACAAAGTCAAACGCCATAGTTTTTATACTTTTTTTTTTAATTTTAAAATACGTGAAAAATTTTAGAATACGTGTAGATTTGTTCGAATTGGTCACATTTGGCACGAATTATGGCCTTCAAACGGCCAATGAAAGCGTCGCACGTGCCCGAATGTTGCTCTGCGGTATTTTAGCCAATTCCCGGCGAAGCGCTTGTTTGAGGTGATCGACTCTTTGGTATTTTTTAGGCCAACCTTGCTTTCCAAATTACTCCAGACACAATCGTCCAACGGATTGGCATCCGGAGATTTTGGTGGCCATTGTGTGCTGGAAATGAAGCGAGGAACCTCACTTTGTAACCATTCTTGGATGGCGCCATAGTACAATAATGAGATAGAACATCTAGAATGTAAAACTACAGAAATACAGCCCTGAGACTATGCCCGCTTCCTGTCAGACTCATTTAAAATTATATACAACAGTTGTTTTCATTTCTTTTATACGATCCAAACTGTTCGATCTTTAAATTTCATGGCTAAACTGGTTAATAGATTTAAAGCGCCAGCCGCAATGTACGTGTCCTCCAATCATTGGTTTTGAAAATATTTTGTTTTCATTTTCCAAACTAATAAATACATACACAAAATTGGCAGAAGTCGGGCAAACTTGGAAAAAAATCAGCTGGTAGCTCTACCTGACCTCTTTTTGTACCATGGGTGGCGCGTGCTTAGTGCGATGGTGCTGAGTCCTGTTGGATTGTCCAAGGTCTGCGGCCAAAATGTTTGCGTATCCAAGGCTTTAATACACCCTCCACCTACACCTTTCGCGATAATATTCGGTATTTATTCTGATGCCACGGTCCATTAATACGAGCGGAGCGGTCACGATCATTTTGTTTGTTTTGTTTATTTACAAACTGCTGGACAACGTACGTTTCCTCATTGGAGAAAACCAAATTCGGCAGTTCACCACTTTCGACCAAGCGAATCATCTCTTTAGGTCTTTTGAGTTTATTTTCTTTCTGTTGCGGTGTAAGTTCTACCACTTTTTGGAATTTCAATGGCTTTACCCAGAGCTCATTTGTCAATCTTTGCCGAATGGTATATTTGGATAAGTTCAGCTCACGAGCCATTTTTCGGCCACTGCGACGCTGATGTTGCTGACGTCGGGTTACGCTACCAGTATCGCGGTAACGAGCGATGGTACAAGACACAAAAGATTTATTCACATTTAAATGCTGGTGTGATCTAACGATAGCCACTAGTGGTTTTCCAGCCAAATATAAAGAAATCACACTATCACGCTTGAATTCCATCACGAATAACATTTTTTCTGGAAAATTCTCACCAAAATGCTTTTGTAAGCTTGTAAACAATATAATAAGCTGTCACTGGAATAATTTTAACAGCTGTCGGACGAGTGGCTTAGAAATTACAGCTGTCTGAAGTTGGTTGCAGTTTTTTCATCTCAGCCTGTATTTATTCAAAATTTTGTCCCTTTGTGCGGAAGGTACTTGATGAATTGGGCCGATATTGTTAATTGACCACCTGACCTAGCCCTGATACAAATATTAGGATTTACAAAGTTAAAGCAAAACGTCCTTTAGGTGCAGTAAAATATTTTGTTTTTTTTTTTTTTAATTTTTGACCTTTTGAGTGGACTGTAGCAGAAAGAGTGGACCAATACTGCCCATCTTCGAACTCGATCTAAGTTTGATAATAATATTACCATGTACCAAGTTTGGACCAAATCGTATACTCCCTTTGAGAGTTTTCATGCGTACCAGTTAGGCAGACAGACAGGCGGAAGGACATCGCCAGATCGAATACTGGAGTAAATTTGATCCAAAGAGCTTTACTTTACACATTTCACTCTTTACTCAGAAGATAGCTCTATTATTTAACAAAAAATTTCACTTTACCTCTTCACTAACTGACGTTTACAAGTCGCATTTCAATATTTAACTGATTAACTTCCTATACACTCATATTTTTAGCTTCTCATCTATACATGGAAGTTTCGCTAATCCCAATCCAAGATATTGTATAAAATTCCAACGAAATGGCAACCATCTCCATTCGACTGTGTTTTAAACAGTCGACACACTTTGAATTTTCGAATCCATTTCACAGTCAAGTCCGATGACTTAAGCTAGTAAAAAAACCTTCGATATACCTGCAAATTAATGGATGGTTTTCCATTCGAGAAAAATAATATTGCAAATTCTTAACAAACACTTTCCAATAAAAGTTTCTATATGTGAGGTTCATTCAATTCTACGTGAACTTGCTTATCAAGCATGAATGGAAATACACACGAAATTTGATATAATCATAATCCACCAACAACAACTAAAATAAACCTAAGAAAATTGACATTTTACATAGCGACGTACAAATATACATGAAGTATACCCCTCCAACACAAAGTTCAGCGACACGAAATTGTTGTGATAATCAACAACAGTAAATAGCATTAGTGGTCAAACTGAAAAGAAGAGAAGAGAGTAAGACAGAGAGAAAGAGAGCGGCATTAGACCTCACATGCAAACGTTATATGCAGGCGTCAACATCAGTTGCAAACAAACTCGCCAACCCATCGGACTACGTTCAAATGAATTGTTTCATTATTCGGCAAATTAACAATTTATCAAATGCCGCGTTAACTGGCTAACAACAATAAAAATTGGAATTGATTATTTTTAATCGGATTTAAAATCATTAAAAAATCTCTTCGATTATGTCGGTAGTTTTGGTATTTTTTATTGTTTCTGCTGCGGCATATTTTCTTATACATTGGTACAAAATATTTTTGTGCGGAATTAGATTACCTGGTCCCTGGTCTGTACCATGTCTGGGCAATGTGCAATTTATAGCAAAATTAAAACCAGAAAGTGAGTGAGTCACAAATACAAATAGAGATAATACATGTACTAAATTGAACTTGAAAACAAACTAAAAATACTGAATTCTTCTAAATATGTTCTACAAATTAATATTGTGCAAATAAACGGGTTTTGTTATTTCAAACGTTCAAGAAAACGATAGATGTGCAACCGTTATGTACCTTTATTTAAAAACTTAAGAAACGCCAAGCTTTTTGTTAATTATTTTAAATTTGAAACAAATTTACTCAGCTGGAAACTCATAAACGTCTCAAACCCCTGTGGGCAATTTACTAAATTGGAATATTCAAATTCGGTTGCAAAACAAGGAGTCAATTTGGTTAATTTTTAATATAACCATGAAAATAAAATATATTTTTAGCTACATAATTAATATTGATTGCTCATCCATGTCTGCAGTAGTCGTTTAGAATATTACTCTCTTCCAGAATCTGCAAACAATATACGAGTTTTGACATTTTTGTTGAATAACGGGGAAACTGCAAGCGAAATGGCGGACTGAGTCTTATTTGTTAAAAATATCATATCTCTTTATATTGGGCGCCAAAAATGTAACGTATTTTCCTAATATGTAGTTATACAGTGGTTTGTTTACTTTTCTTGTTATATAATTAAACTATGTAAACTATTACAACAACAATAACCAACCAGATCAGTATATTACTATGTAATGAGATATTCCGTAATATTTTGGCGCCCAATGTTATGGGTTTTTATAAGCGTTCGAAAATAAACAGTATTGTACTGTACCGTAGTGTTCTGTACCGTTCCTAGGTGGAGTGACACACTAAGATAATGAACCGTACCGGATCACTACCCTTAAAAATATTTTAGTGATACTGTACCGGAGCAGAACGAGAATCGTACTGTACTACTAAATCTTAGTGTTCCGCAGCCGGAGCACTACAAAATCGTAGTGTATGTCGGCGGAACATTAAAAAAATAATGTACAGGTAGTGTACCACATGTCTGTTGTTTACGGTTTGTGAGATTAGATGCTTGATGTTTTTGATAATGCAAACAATTACAAATACAATTCAATATTATAAAAATGAAAGATGACTTTTTTACTTTTTGAAGATAATCGAAAAATATGAGAATAGGTAGAAAGAATAAAAAATAGTGTACCGGTACACTACCGCTAAATTTTTTTTAGTGATACTGTACCGGTACAGTACACTATGTTTGTGTACTGTTTATTTTCGAACGCTGGTTTTTATACCCTCCACCATACTATGGTGGGTATATTCATTTTGTCATTCCATTTGTAACCCATCGAAATAATGACCTTAGACCCAACAACGTATACATATTCTTGGTCAGCGTAAAATTCTAAGACGATTTAGCCATGTCCGTCTGTCTGTTTGTGTGTCTGTCTGTTGTAATCACTCTATCTTTCGAACGAATCGAGATAGAAGGCTATGTCCGTCTGTCTGTTTGTGTGTCTGTCCGTCTGTCTATCTGTCTGTTCTTTCGAACGAATCGAGATAGAAGGCTAAAATTTTGCACACATGTTTATTTTGCCAGTAGGCAGGTTAAGTTCGTATATGGGTCATGTAGGTCCACGTTCTCATATAGCCCCCATATAACGGTACCTCAAATTTGGCATTTGAAGTTCGAAATGGAAACTACAACCTGAGACAGAAAATTGTCTGTGCAAGTCCACGTCTTCGTATAGCCCCCATATAAAGGTATTTTGATGATTTTAGCGTCATTATTCACCGTAGTTTCAAATTACGTATTAAGAGTTCGTAATGGGAACTACAGTCTGTGACAGAAAATTGTCTATGCAGGTCCTCCTTATATTCGGTATTTTGACGAATTTAGGTACAATACTCACCGAAATTGTATAAGATTTCGTAATTGAAGTTCGTAATGGAAGCTACAGCCTGTGACAGAAAATTGTCTATGCAGGCCCAGGTCTTCGCTTGGCTCCTATATAACGGTACCTCCCTAAGTACGATATTTTGATGATTTTAGCTACATTATTCACCGTTTATTTCATGTTTCGAATTTGAATATGGTAATGGCTTGTGACAAACAATGCCTATGTAGATGCACGTAGTACAGGCCCTAATATAACGGCTATATTCGGTATTTTTAAAATGTTAACAGAATTTTTAGCGAATGTTATCTTTTTCGAAAATTTTAAAATTCGTTCTAAATGGTGGAGGGTATTCAAAGTTCGGCCCGGCCGAACTTACTACTTTTTTACTTATTTTTAATTATTTTGTTTTTTTTTTTTTTTTTTTTTTTTTTTTGTGTAGTCTACTGTATGTAACGGATATCGCCGTTGACGTTTTGTTAGGTATTAAAGCGAATTTTTCCATTATTAGCCAAAAAAAATATGTTCCTATTATATATCCAGAAGTTGATTTTAATCACAAAACGTCATATCGAATTTGACACTAGTATTACTATTGAGTCAAATCAGCTGGGGTTTGCTGCTACCTGTAAAAATTATACCATGGGTAATCTCATTCAATCCTTCGATCACAATTTTTTTATTTCCATAAATTTTCAAATTTAACTTCTGTATTACTTCCTTACATATTAGCGTAAATCTGACAATAAATTTAGATTTATTTCCAACCAAATATTTTTTTTTGCGGCAGCTAGGCCAAGTGTGAAGAAGAACAACAATATCGCGGCTTGTTTTGCTATTATATTGTCTTCCCGAATTTTAAGTCGAATGGGCCTTAATTTCATTGCTTGAATTCATATAGCAGGTATTGTGAAGATTTTGCCGGTTATTCTGGGGATCAAACTGGTTTAAAATAATACGTTATTCGAGGACTACACAAGAACTACCCGCCCCGATAATGTTTCCTTAAGATGAATAATTTAAAATCACATGTTTAAGCTTAAGACATGATAAATACAATTCGTCTTTTTATGATATGGAACATATAACTGTTTTTACGTGCCTAGGAATGTTGAAAATAAAAGATTGTTTATTATTTTTTTTAAATATGCCAGCAGTCATAAGTAAATATTTAGATAAAAAATAGTTTCATTTTAAAAATGAAAAGGTCGAGAACTTCGGAAACCGGTATAGAAAGAATTGTGAAGATTTTGCCAAATTTTTTCAGCTGAGTAAACACCATTTGAGGACTAGCCAGCAACTTGCAACACTGAGATTAATTTACTATGAGATAAAATATATATTATCTCAAAGGATATATTATCTCAATTTTTTATATTTATGCCCAAGAAAAAAATCATATCTCTAAGAAATGGAGCATGTAACTGTATAACCATGGTAAAATTAAGAATGTATAGTCATACAATCATATGTTTACATTTTTTTTTTCAAAATTATTAATTTGGTAACATCTAATTGTCAAAATTTTTATTTACAAATCCATTGTATACACACACATCAGATATGGGAACATGTTTCCTTTGAAGTGAAATTTGCAGAGATGGATGTGCTCTTTTGAAATTACTTTACCTGCAACAATCTACTACTATTGCAATTTTCTTCGATATCATAAAGGGAAAATCGGTTATCGTAGTAAAAAGTTTGGAATTCATGAAGTTCTGGAACAGAGCAATTATTATTTGAAAATTTTCAAAATCGATTTTGTTGGGTAAAGAGATGACATATTCGTCATGACATTGCATTGACGAAAATCCATAATTCAGGAAACAACGTGATCCCCAACGATATACACATGGCTCAAAAAGGAAGATTGTTCAACTTCATAGAAACTGACAAAATGCAACTTTGTACTGGAGCCTTATTGTGTCAAATAGACTTTTGAACAGGTTTATTTTATATTGAGGAAAATCCACAAAACATGAATGGAATATTAGTTTTTTTTTTCAAAGAAATTGAATACGAGATAGAGAGACAACCATGGTACAATAAAATGGTAAGGTAAAGCTAGCAGCTGATTGCAAATTTTTCCAGGTTTTGAAGAACAACAATCAAATATTTTCAAAATTAATAATTGTAAAAAAAACGTACATTGCGGGGTGCACATTAAAGGTAATAAGCATTTTTTCATGGAGTTGAAAGATTGCTGAAAAATATTAAATTAATTAGAACCACCTGTTGGTCGGACATAGCTTTGGTGGTGTATTTCTGCACTTTTACGAAGCTGTTCTACCTCTTAATTGTATAAACACACACGTACAAACTGCGTATATTCTTGACATAATAGGGTCGCCAGGAGAAAAAAATTATCTAGGAAGAAGATTTGTTCTACCTTCTCTAAGAATTTAAATAGACACATTGACAATAAGATATTGTCAACTGACCATGGTAGAAAAATACAGGTAGATGCATCAACGCTTGGGAGCATTGATATGTCAACAATTTTTAAATTTCTTTTCAAATATAAGTAGATTTTTATATGTTTTCTTATACGACAAAAATCGTGGGTTGTAAAGATACGCATTTTTCAACAATTTTTACAAATTTAAATAATTTTTCATTCAACATTTTCAATTCCAAAATTGGTTTGACAGTTCATTGTCTCAGTAGCTGTGTCGATGCGTCTACCTATATTCTTCTACCATGCAATTGACCTTACCTTTCTAATTTTACCATGATCTCAATTGCGAAATAAAAACTTATAAAGCAAAAAATTACAAAATGAAAAATTTTATAAAGGCAATAGTTTTTCGGTGATGTATTCGGTTATTTCCGATATCGATTAACATTTTTTTTTCATTTTTATAAATAAAAAACTTGCAAACTTCACAAATTATTCTTGTTTTTGAACTTCGCTTTCATGATACAATAAAATCAATAATACAATGGATGTTATTTCATATAATAACATCCAGCTCTGCTTTTCCTGTAATTGCGCATTTATACTACCAATATTATGGATCTTATAAACCCAGTGGGTTAATCTTGTGTGTTTAGATACACCCTTAAGAGAATATAAATTACGCTCAGCTGATGTTTGTTTGAGGCTCTATTAGACGATATGTTTTTAAATATGTAGTGGCAAATTTTCATATGAAGCACCCATCCTGTGATACATGGAGGACATTTCAGTTGTGAAATGCACGAGTAAAATACATATCTTCCTTTTCGATCACAGCGAATATTCATTGGCAAAATATAATTTAATCAAAAGTATCAAATAATTTAATCAAAAGTATTTTAAGTTTTTAGAAACCCCAATTTTGTCTCAATGTAACCAAGTAAATAAAAAAACATATGCAAGTGTGTGATAGAAAGAATTATGTTATATGACATACAATGACATACACACGAATATAAACATGAGTTATAAAAATGACACCACAAGTGTAAAACCTCGCCTCGGTTTTAAATTGAAACCGGCCGGGAAAATATCTATTTTGTATGGTAAATCTGATTGAATAAATCCAGATTAATCAATAAATTCTGATAAAATTTGGTATCTAACAGTACGTTTATATATATGAGGGTTAACCCACTGGATTTGGATTTAAATTGTCATATCCATTACTTTTACTTCAAATAAATCCTCTCAAAGTAGGTTAACCCTACAAAAAGTTCTTACGTAAACATGGCATAAGCCCGATATAACTTATCTTTTCAAATTTAACTTTTCACCAATTTATTAAATTAAATCGATTTGCAAATCCAACTTGTTTAGTCTTAAGTTGATTTAAATTTGTATGGGAAATCATCGTAAAATTGGGAGGATTAAGTACCCAAATCAATTTTTGTATATATAAGAGTTGAATATAGATTTAGAGATAATGTCACATGATTGTAAAAACTAAATTTTACCAAGGGCGCTTTAATCATTGTACCAATAAAGTGTTAATGAAAAAATCGAATACATTATTTGATCTCTTTACGCTGATTACACCGTGGACGCAAACCCACTAGCTCTTCTAATTCTTCTAAATCTTATATTCTACACTAACTATCTTTCTTACCTCACTTCCCCTTTTTTCTAGACTAGGATGATCACAATGGGCCAGTAGGTCTCCGAGTGGAGTGGTTGTTGTTTTTACCCAGCCACACATCCTTTAACCTAACCTAACCTAATCTCTTTAATTGTAAATTTCAGAACTTTTATATGCAATACACAGTTGTCACGAGAAATATGGTCAATCGTTTCGATTATGGCTAGGGCCACAACTATGGGTATTTCTACATAGTCCACAGGAGACACGAGATGCACTGAATGACGCCACCCTAAAACGGGCAGATTCATTTCAAATGTTAAACGTGTTCATAGGAAATGGATTGCTGATTAGTGAAGGCAAAGATTGGGAACTACACAGAAAGGCACTGGGACCTGCATTTCATCCAAATATTTTAAATGGATTTACTCACACCATAATTCAACATGTCAACATACTTGTAGATAGATTAAGAGATTTAGACTCAAAGTCAATAGAAGTATCGGAATATTTGTTTCCTTGTCTAATGGATACCATTATTGGTAAGTCGACAATGGACATTTGTATGGAAATAAATGTAGACTTTTAAATTTTTTCGTTTTTTTCTTTTCAGATACATCAATGGGGAAAAACTTGGAGACTCAAAATAACTTAAATCATTCCTACACCCATGCGTTTCATAGGTAATTATTAGAGTAGGGACAAATTGATGCAAAGCTTTTTGTGCTATAAATCAAGGCCTATACAAGGTCTGCGAATAAGACTACTTTTGAGAACAGTTTGACAATAAACTTAGTAGTTTTTAAACTTATTGTGATCAGAAGGGGTTTGCTTCAGCATTACTGTCCAAATACTCAACTGTAATGACTTTAATAATCACAAAATGACTAACTATTTTCCACACAAATTCTCGTTTTCCAGAACAAGGGAATTACTATTTGAGCGTATGGTAAACCCATTACTCTTTCCTGATTTAGTTTACAACAACACACAAAGATCTAAAGACTTAGCCAAATATATAAATATAATTCACGATCTTATGGACTCTGTCATAAAGGAACGTCAAGAATTTCTGGAGCAAGAGGGAAAGCACACCGAGTTGGCAGTAAGAAAGCAAAGATGTCTCTTGGACACATTACTAACAGCTACCATTGAACAAAAACCCCTAAGTCTCAAGGAGATTCGTGATGAAGTCAATACCTTTGTTTTTGCTGTAAGTTTAGGTCGCTTTGAAACCAATAGCTTCTGAAATCGAACTTTATTTTAGGGAGTAGATACCACCACAGCGGCCATGTGTTTTGTTCTCTATTGCCTTGGAAAATATCCCCAAGAACAACAAAAAGTCCTCGACGAAATTTATAGCATACGAAGAGAATCCTCAGACAGTTTTCCCAACACCTCGGATCTCAACAAATTGGAATATCTGGATATGTTTATTAGAGAATGTTTGCGGCTATACACAATAGTTCCCATGACCGGACGTCAAACTACAAAAACCACAAAAATTGGTGGAAGGACCTATCCACCTGGCGTAACATTGTGGATTAACATGTATGGCCTGTGTCACGATAGTCAGCTGTATGAGGAACCATTCAAATTTAAACCCACACGTTTTAACCGTTTGGAATATCAACGTTTACCTAAATTTGCGTACATACCATTTTCCGGTGGTCCACATGTTTGCATTGGTCGAAAGTACGCTTTGATGATAATGAAAATTATGTGTGTTCGAATATTGGAAACTTTTGAGTTGACGCTAACACATCCCAATGAAAAGCTGATACTAATGTCTCAGATGACTTTGAAATCAAAGACTGGTATTAACATCATATTTAAGGCAAGGTGATGAAGATATGTGTATACATCGAAGTTTGTACTTAAAAAATAAGAATTTTACAAAAAAAAAAAAAAAAATGACTAATGTATGCAGGTAAAATAGTAGTCTGGAAAATCAAAGTTAAATTCAATCGAACCAAATCTTTCATAACTTTGGTAAAAAAAATTAAAATTTAAAAGCAAATGTCAGCTAACTGGAAACATATGTTTTCTGTAAATCTTATGGCTATTCTCTTGTGTTATTTTAATGTTTTTTTTTTGCGTTGCACACTTAACCTTTCTTTCAGGTAGCGGGGAATTTCAAAAACAAAGATGTTAACAATAGTATGTCCAAGGTCGGCCAAGAAGACTACTTTTGACAACAATTTGACAAGTTAATTCACTTTGACAGTAAAACCGTTTGCATAATGCAGTTAAGTTAAACTTATCAAAACCCCATAAAGTGAGTGTGGCCGTTATATGGGGCCATACCATGGTGGAAAATTACAGTTAGATGCATCAACGATTGGGAACATTTATATGTCAAAAATTTTTAAATTCTTTTCAAATATAAGTAGATTTTTATTTGTTTTCTTATACGACGTCGTTCGGAGGTTATTATAATACGCGATTTCTAACAATTTTTACAAATTTAAATATTTTTTCATTTAACATTTTTAATTCCAAAATTGGTTTGACAGTTCATTGTCCCAGCAGCTGCGTCGATGCGTCTACCTATTTTCATCTACCATGGGCCATACCAAAACCATGGTACAATAAAAAGGTAAGGTAGAGCTACCAGCTGATTACAATTTTTTTCTAAGTGTGCCTGACTTCTACCAATTTTGTGTATGTATTAATTGTTTTAAAAAATAAAAACAAAATATTTTCAAAATCAATGATTGGAAGACGCGTAAATTGCGAGACGCACATTAAAGCTATTCGCCAGTTTTACCATGGTATTAAAAGATAGAACTGCCCATGGTACAATGAAGAGAAGGTAGGTCAACTTTGAAAAAATTGCAAGTATAGAGGTCTACCTGTTTGGCTTGTAATGTCAGAATTAGTATCAAAACAATAAAAAATCAAACAACTTGTTGCATTTATTTTGAATAAATAATTGAAAACCGCGATAACTGAATGAAAGGTCAACACTTCTTTTCAAAATCATGTACTATATGTCTCTAAAGGATTATTTCGCTACAAAAACTCTAGATTTTGTCGATGCATGCGTTGAAATGAACATTTTGAAAACACCCGAATTTGAATGTTTTATGAACAATTTTTTTGTTATTGAAAAGAAAACACATACATAAACAAAAAATGATGACGTATTAGGCCAAGAAAATAAAAAAATTGAAATCATATGGTAGTTCTGCCCTACCTTGATATCATTGTGCCATGGAACTGCCCATGGTACAATGATATCAAGGTAGGGCTATGATACCATATGATTTCAATTTTTTTATTTTCTTGGCTTAATATGTCATCTTTATTTGTTTATGTATGTGTTTTCTTTTCAATAACAAAAAAATGTTCAGAAAACACTAATTTTGACATTACAAGCCAAACAGGTAGACCCCTATACTTGAAATTTTTTCAAAGTTGACCTACCTTCTCTTCATTGTACCATGGTAGAACCCATAAAATATATACATATATTTATAATCAGCATAAAATTCTAAGTCGATTTGACGATGTCCGTCTGTTGAAATCACGATACAGTCCACATTATTTGAAAAGAATTCGTGGAAAATGTGGCAATCATCAAAATACCGAATATTGGGAGGTACCGTTATATGGGGCTATACAACAACGTGGATACATACAATGTTTCGCCACCACAAATAGCAATTTTTAGACAAATCCGCGAAAAAATGTGCAAAAATCATCAAAATACCGAATGTAGGTATCCTTTTATGGGGTCTATACCAAAACGTAGACCTATACATACAGTGTTTCGCCACACGGGCTAGAACCCATTAAACCCTACAAATACCAATTTTTAGACAAATCCGTGAAAAAATGTGGGGAAAATCATGAAAATACCAAATATCGGGAGGTACCGTTATATGGCGGCTATATCAAAATGTGGACCGATATATCATTTTCAATACCAACCATCCTAGACACAATTCAAATTGTTCTGCCAAATTTTGAAGGCCTTCGTCAAATAATGTGGACTGTATCGTGATTTCAACAGACGGACATCGTCAAATCGACTTAGAATTTTATGCTGATTATAAATATATGTATATATTTTATGGGTTCTACCATGGTACAATGAAGAGAAGGTAGGTCAACTTTGAAAAAATTTCAAGTATAGGGGTCTACCTGTTTGGCTTGTAATGTCAAAATTAGTGTTTTCTGAACATTTTTTTGTTATTGAAAAGAAAACACATACATAAACAAATAAAGATGACATATTAAGCCTAGAAAATAAAAAATTGAAATCATATGGTATCATAGCCCTACCTTGATATCATTGTACCATGGGTTCTACGATGAATATTTAGGGATGTTACAAACGGAATAACAAAGTTTATATACCCTCCGTTCCAAGGTGGAGGGTATAAAAATGACAAGGTCGAGAAAAGCGTTGCCATATTTGAGTTAGAAAATGAGTTAACCTCTATTGTTTGGCCATGGTATTAAAGATATTAAATACAGGTAGATGCATCAACGCTTGGGACAACTGATATGTCAAAAAAATTTAAATGTTTTTTTTTTTTTTTTTCAAATATAAGTAGTTTTTTATATGTTTTCTTTTACGACGTCATTCGGAGGTTATTATATTTCGCGTTTTCAATAATTTTTAATAATTTTAATATTTTTTTATTCAACATTTTCATTGATGCAACTGCTGGGACAATGAACTGTCAAATCAATTTTAGAATTGAAAATGTTGAATGAAAAATTATTTAAATTTTTAAAAATTGTTAAAAAAATGCATATCTGAACAACCCACGATTTGTGTCGTATAAGAAAACATATAAAAATCTACTTATATTTGAAAAGAAATTTAAAAGTTTTTGATATATCAATGCTCGCAAGCGTATTTTTCTGCCATGGTTTATACTTTAGACATTTATGATTAGTTTAAAGTACGTTTACATACAAAATCTCTACCATGATAAACCCTGATAAATGTCAAATCGCAATACGTTTAGGATAAGTTTTACAGTCAGATTTATTGTTATTGATCAAATATAAGGGTAGATCCGGGAGATACTTTGTATGTAAACGTACTTTTAGCTTGACCGAACTCTTCCCATATTTTCCAAACGTATTTCATCAAAGATTACATTAGAGCAATTTTCCAGGTAAACCTCCATTATTCAATTCATGGTATAATTATTAGAAGGTAGAAGCAAAATTACAAAAAAATACAAGTCAACAACAAGAACATAGAAATTTTTTATTGGTTATCTCAGAGTTATAAGTTCAAAAATATAAACAAAACTTTATTATAGTCATGCAATCATATATTTGCAATTTTTTCAATATTATTGATTTGGCAGCAACTCATTGTCAAAATATATATTTTTAAATCCATTGTAGACACACAAATCAAAGATGGGAACCTGCTTTCTATGCAGTGAAATTTGACAAGGTAATTTTGAGATAATGCAAAGATGGGAATGCATATTTGAAATGACTTTACCTTCTTAATTTTACCATGTAAATTATTTTAATCTCAAAAATTTCATTTTTGGAATTTGGATTATGAAAATGCTTGATTTTCATTGTTGGCTTTATCTACAACTATATGGAAACAATTCGAGAAATCGTGAAAAGCAATATGTCATGGTAGAAGAATACAGGTAGACGCATCGATACAGCTACTGGGACAATAAACTGTCAAACCAATTTTGAAATTTAAATTTTTGAATGAAAAATTATTTAAATTTGTAAAAATTTTTGAAAAACGCGTATTATAAAAACCTCCGAATGACGTCGTATAAGGAAACATATAAAAATCTACTTATATTTGAAAAAAAAAAAACATTTTAAATTTTTGACATATCAATGTTCCCAAGCTTTGATGCATCTAAATATATATATTTATAAGGTAAACTACATTTTGCAGATTTAGAAAACAGAAAAAATACGAATATATTAACAAATACGGTTTCATTTTTTCTTTACTGCTAAAAATTTTTTTCATCTTCGGCGTTTTGTGAAGTAAAATGACTTTTTATTTCTGTTATCAGGGGGAATTCTCCACATTATATCAAAATATGATACTACAACACATATGTAAATTGATACCAATATTACATAACAGTCGAATTAGTTTGCCTTCTAATAATTATACCATGATTGCCCTGCAGTAAATTTTTATATAAATAAATGAAAAATGAAATCACAAAACGTCATATCGAATTTGAAAAGTCAGCAATTTTGAACAATGAATTCATTTCACTTTTAACTTGTTGAGAAGAAGAAATCAGTGCAATTTTTATGGTGAAAATTTGTTATTAAATGGTATAATACAACGTTGAACGCAGGGTGATAATAAGAAGGTAAAGTCATGTAATCAAATTTTTTCTTTTTAAATTCTTGCAGTTCTGGAAAAGACTAATGCTCTATTGCAGGTTCTGCAAGATACTACTAGTTTTGCCATTTTTTTCTGATATCATGAAGGGAAAATCGGTTATCGTTTTAAAAACTTTTAAATTCTTGCAGGTCTTTAACATTCCACAAATGTTTATTTACATGTCCATTGTAAATTCACAAGTCAGAGATGGGAACTTATTTTCTATGGAATTTAATTTGACAAGATAATTTACTGAAATGCAGAACTGTGAATGAAGTTACCTTGATTTCATTGTAACATGGTTGAACACAAATTATCGGACTAATAATCCAAATAAGTAAATTATTGCCTATAATTTATAACACTTTTATATTGGCCACAAAACAGTTATTTCTTTTAACTCAACTGCCAAGGCCGTACTCATTTACTGGAATTTTGGGTTATCGAACAACACATTTTAATATTTTGTATTTTTTTAATATCATACACAACATTATGTATGCAATCATGACTTAAAGTGAGGGTACTTAATTAGCGTCCCATCATCGCTAGGCATATTAATGTCAAATTATAAGGAAAAACGACGGCAAGATTCGAGTGCGGCTCTAACATCCCTTTCTGATATATCATAAAGTATGTCCTGCGAAGACTTCAATAACCCAATATTTTGTATTGTTTTGTACAAAATGTTGTTCGATAACTCAAAATGTCAGTAAATGAGAACGAGTATCAAATTACATGTATTGGCGAGTATCAAATAACATGTATTGGCAAACCCATATTTTACATACTTGTTTATATTGGAACCCTTTATAAAGGTAAAGTACTAAAATGTCAATGTAGTGTTGCGTTTCAAAGATAATTTAATTTTATAATAATAATATAATTTATAATAACCTTATCTGCCTTGTGTGAACCCTGTGCAACACATCTTTATTATCAGCTGATGTGTCAAAGAGTAAGACGCATGGCATACGCTTCCCTAAAAGTACTACCGTTACGACATGCAACAACAAAATGCATGACAAACCCAAATGTCAACAATAACTGACGTTTTGACGTGTTCAGGAGGAAAAAAGTGTATTATTGTTAAATTTCTTCATTTTCGTGCTTAAGAATACAGATTTACGTCTCCAAAGGGAGGTAATAATGTGGGGATTTTACAAATATTTTGATGAAAATGAATCATCGTGGGCAATTGCTAGCGATAAGCTTGACAACAAAGCCCATAGCAGTGGGGTGGCGTTGTACTTTTTTGGGCGGATGAAACATGTCCTTAACGAGAAAAAAATATTGGAATTCCCACCTTTTGGTTAATATTTGGGCGATAAAAAGACACATTAGAATAATAATTTATATATACATACTATACTTTAACCAAAAGAATTGTTCTTGAAGTTACCGGCAGATGCCTGGCATCAAATCTATTCATAAGTCATATTACAAGAGACTTATTCGTATCATCAGTAATAAACCTTTAACTTTTCTATTGCACAGGTAAAACACCAAAATGTCTGATGACTTATTACAATTTAAGGACTACAGTAATACACCCAGCACTAGTAGTCCACCAGCACAAATAAATGTCAATTCTCCATCGCATTCAACGGGCTCTGGGCAGAGTGGACGTCAACGTGGAGATCCCATGTCTGATTTGATTTACGACATGAGTAATTCGGCTAATATTCTTTCCGGGGGAATGTCATCTGGTGGTGGAGGGGGTGGTGGAAAAGACACCGGCCTGCCTGAACCTGCTACAGCAACACCAAGCAAAACATCTTTCCTAACAATTGAATACTATCAAAAGTTTTTTGATGTTGATACTTATATGGTGTTGGAACGCATAGCTAATTCCATGATACCGAAAAGAGCACCAAGCAATTATCTTAAATCACACATTGGACTTAACCCAGACTTGTATGGACCATTTTGGATTACCACAACCCTGGTGAGTTAACTGCCACAGCAAACTGTCAGCGAATTTAACTAAACCCATTTTTAGATTTTCTGTATTGCCATCAGTGGTAATATAGCCAACTATCTTCAACACCAAAGCGACAACTATCAGTGGCGTTATAATTTTCATTTGGTCTCATATGCAGCCACTTGTATATTTATATATGTTAATTTCTTGCCTGGTGCCCTGTGGGCTTTGTTTAAGTATAGCCTAAAACCACTACAGGAAGGACTTGAAACAGAAAATGTAAGCGATAATCATTTTGCGAAATAATAACCCCTCTAATTATTCGCTTCACAATATTTTTCAGGCTGATTATACACCTTCCCTGCTAAGTCTTATGTGCGTTTACGGGTACTCTTTGGCCATCTACATTCCTGTTTCCATTCTTTGGGTCATACAGGTATGTATCAGTATTTAAATGAAATCTTTTCTTTATACCAATATTATCTTATTCCTTATAGCTTTCCATACTGCAGTGGCTTTTGGTAATAACTGCTGCACTATTGTCCGGTTCAGTTTTAATTGCTGTTCTCACGCCTGCATTGAGAAATTCCAAATATTCCCTTTTCCTAATTATTGGTATACTTGGCGCCCACTTTCTGTTGGCTGCCGGGTTTATGTTGTATTTCTTCCATGTTCCTGCTAACACAGCAGCTGCCGTACATTCCACCGTGGAAACTATCAAGCAACCTGTAAATCAAGCCTTAGAGGCTACAGCGAAAGCTGTTATCGGTAACATAACCAATAAGTAAAAATCTACGGTGTTCTTTTAGAGGTACTTTTCTATTATTAAGTATTATATCAGTAGACGCAAAACAAAATAAATAGAAAAAAAAACAAACTTTGAAATTTTTTCAATGGTCAATAAGTAAGAGGAGATTGAAAATATGAAAATATATATTGTTTATTTTTCACAAGAAACATTTCATTGTCTAAAATATCAATTTCTTGAGGAGCGAAATAAGATCTTTAGTGAATTTTTAATACGACCGAAAAATAAAATTCCATGAAAATTGAAAAAAAAATTGTGTAAACGTTGACTGTTATCAAGGGGTCCAGTCCCCCACCATACTTTTCTAGTCACTATGGCCAATTTACGGTTTTCCCAACATTTCTTCAGTTTTTGTTTTTTTTTGAAGGCTCCAATCCGGATTAAAAAATTACAATAACTAACAATTACCATAAGTTTACCACCACAGATTTCCTTTAGAAATATACATTTTTTATAAAACTCGAAGATTAGAATTTAAAAAAGTTGTGACAACCGTAATTGTGAAGTAGACAAAAGTGCATAAAAATTTATTTCGTTTATACATAAGATAATACATTCCCTTATCTCTCTCTTTTTACACAAAATTCCACTTAAAACGTATAAAACACTTATGTCAACTTCCTCCCTCCGAAACGTCCTTTACTGTGTTTTGGTTAAAAAAGTACAACTATTTTTAATGTGTTCTCCAAACGCCACCCGTTTAATTTGTTGGCAAATAAGTCAATTTTTCATTCAGTTGTAGTTGTGTCTTAATAAGATTGGATAGAGTGATGACCATCAATAAATCACGAACATTGGCATTGAACATTTGGGTGAATTGTTCATGGGACATGTGTGGCACCGAGTGGATAAGATCCAAAAGCTGACGTCCTACCGCATTGTCTGGGGGTTGTTTGTGAGCAATAACATCTTCAACATACTTCAAAATAAGCTCCAACAAGCTTTGCAACTTGGTAGCGGCTTCTGATATTTGTGCCAAGTCCAACATGGGCGATACCGTCTTAGTGCGGTGTGGAGCTGAATTTCCAATGGTCTTTTGCAACAACTTTATACCCACAGTTTCAGGTTCATAGCAGGTCATTTCCACGGGGATGGGAGTGAACATGCAACCGGTTTTACCACCAGGAACGCCCAATGGAATGCAGACGTAGGCACACAGACCCATACGACCACCTTGCAAAGAGGTATCAACAGTCAAATGGACTGGGTTGTTGCATTCACGGGCGTAGTATTCATGGATTACAGAACTGTGATTGGTTACTTCGTTACCAGTTGCCCACCAGCCTAAAAACGAAAATGGTAATGACGTTAATGTTCGTCCGTATACAACAAAATTGAGGTTATGTTTACTTACCCACAACATTTTCATTGGGATTTACTTTACGATTTAAGTCATATAAATCTAAAGCATAACTCAATTCAGCTTCAACTTGATCATCGTGTTCCTTGTGGGGAACACAGAAGCAATTTGTCACTTCAACAACGCCTTTATCAACAGAGCCTGCAAAGAATGACAGCGTGTTTACACCCAACTTTGATTGGCACTCTTCCAGTTTAACTTACCCAATAAGGTACCGATGACACGATGGGAATCTGCATTACGCCTTTCGTAGGCATCTACAACCTGGAACAGCACCACAGGATGCACTTTTACAGTTAAATTAAGTCCCGACATTGCGTGGCGTTGCAAATCTAGTATTGATCAAATTGCAAAGAAAGAGGAAGAAGAAGCAGAATGTAGGGATTTATAAACATACTTTCTCCAAATCGATTAATCGAAATGTAATCGATTATTTAAAAAAAATGTATAGACTTTTTTCCAGTACCAAAAGCAACAAAAATTAAAGTTCAGTAATGCTATGCTCTCATTGCACTTTCAATCATGTTGTTCGCTCTCGTAATTCATAGTAAAATAAGTCCTTTTTTTTAAATTTTTTGTAAATGTTCACATTTTTGTGTAAATGTTCACATTTTGAACATATTTTTGTATTTTTCTATTTTAAATTCTGCTGGAGAGACAATTGTCAATCATTTTTTCTGACGATATAAACATTTTGAAAATATTGCCCCTTTTATTTTCAGCGTTCTGTGGAAATTTCAACTCGTGGACAAAATGGCCACTTCGGATGAGAGAGAAAACAAAATTTACTTTCGTTTGAATGTACATTCGCCATTCAACATTGTAGTTTTCATTGATAATTTTCAGTCTTCCCAAAATTTTACAAAATTTCATTAAATTTTACTATTTTGAATTTTTAAACGTCATAATTTATTTTTTTGACAAGTGCTCTCATTTTTTAGCGATGGCACTCATTTCATCTTAATTTTGAGAGTGATTTGAATGGAACAAAGGAACAAAAATCATTGTTCGCTCAGCAAATTTTGAGTGGGAAATTAAGTAGATATATCTTAATTAATGGTCGAACAAGGAATAGGGAGCGAATCGCGTGTCATGTAAACTTAGCATAACAGAACAGTATTAAGAAATTTTACATTCTTGCTGTTCTGGAATAGGCCAATTTTGTTATTGAAAAGGGGTCGGGCTTAATCCTATTATTGTTGTTTTTATAAAAGCAATTTTTGTTTATTAATGGAGAACGTTGGTAATGTTTACCAGGGGGGAAGGCAGGGAAGAGTCACCAATCCTCAACCGTTCCCTTGTTTTTTGTTCTTTTAAAAATAACTCCTACCAATGTTGTCAACCTTAACTTCTTTTTACAGGCATCCACTTTTTTAAAATAAAATTTCAAATCTGTGCAATGTGGCGATTTTTCCCTGATAATATATAAAAAAGTTATTTTACTGCACAAACGGAGCGGAGTCTTTTTAGCGAAAGAAAAGAAAAAGGGAAAACGCATGCTTGTTTACCATATCATAAAGGAAAAATCGGTTATCGTAGTAAAAATTTTTGCATTCTTGCCATGGTAGAAGAATACAGGTAGTCACATCGACACAGCTGCGTGGACAATGAACTGTAAAACCGATTTTGGAATTGAAAATGTTGAATGAAAAATGATTAAAGTTTGTAAATATTGTTGAAAAATTCATATTATAACAACCTCTGATTTGCGTCGTATAAAATAAACATTTAAAAATCCACTTATTTTTCATAAAACATTTTAAAAATTTTGACAATGTTTTCAAGCCTTGATGCGTCTACCTATATGCTTCTACTATGATTCTTGCAGTTCTGGAACATAGTAATAGTCGTATATTTTATGTTTTCTAAATTTGAAAGGCATGTTGCTTTTTCCACGAATTCCGAGGGATTGTTGTAGTGGTGCAAGTATGGTACAATAAGAAGCTAGGACAGCTTCGTAAAACTATAGAAATACACCCCTAAGGCTATGTCCGCTTCCTGTCGAATTTACATTCAACAAGCTGTTTCCATTTATTACATATATTTCCTAATGATTAAATTTAGGTAAATGTGATCTAAACTGTTCGATATTTCAATTCCATGGCAAAACTTGCGAATAGCTTTAATGTGCGTCCCCCCATCATTAATTTTGAAAATAGTTTGTTTTTCTGAACAATAAATACATACACAAATTGGCAGAAGTCGGACACACTTAGAAAAAATTGTAATCAGCTGTAAGCTCTACCTTACCTTTTTATTGTACCATGGGTGCAAGATTCTAGAACTAAACAGTTCCATAACGGAAAGAATGTAAAAGTTTTTACTACGATAACCAATTTTTTTTTCCAAATAATTTTATTGAAAGCATACGACTTTTGGGGGAAAAAACAAAATATACTAATTGTAAAAGTGTAAATTCATCAATTTTATGGGTGGTATTCAATACCGCACCGTTATTGGAATTGTGACATTAGTAATAGAAAATAGAAGAAATTTGTAAAAAAAAACACACGACATTCTTTAAGATTTCCAATAAAACACATTCTTTGGTAAATAGAGTATATAGTTAGAATTATAACAAAAATAAATATATTGTTGGGTTAAAATTTAAAAAATGTTATTTTTATATGATTACAGATTATGTTTGAACCAAATGAATTTTGTTTATTTTTTAAACTATCATACGCCGCATTTAAATAACCTGTTCTTTGCAAGCATATGAATATGCATCATGTGGTAGCAGGAATGTTTCTTTATGTCCAATTTGTGCTGGTTCCCGAACTCTCACAAATAAAGAAATAGTTATATTAAAATACCAAAACAGTAGTTATTCCATGCTTGCACCTTAATTAATATTTTTTTATTTTATAATATACACTTAACATTAAAATCTAGTTGTATATATGTGATGTTTCAACACCATAATTTCTTCCGCTGTTCTTTTTCTGATAATTGCCATTGTGTTAATTCTGGTTAGCTTAATTAGTTTTAATTATATTTTTTTTAAGAATTAGTTTGGGATCCCTTTTCTTGTTTTCAGAATTATTATTTAACGATACACATTACATAAATATTGCCGCCATAATTATATCCAAAGAATATTTTAGTTGATTTTTCAGCCAATAGGCGTAGGTCCTTGATTGATGTCAACTAAATAAATGTCCTTTTGATTTTGCAATACAAAGTCAACGAATGCATTTATGGGAGCTATTTCATCTAGGGATGTTGTTTTTCTATCCGACCACAGAAAGTTGGGACCGAAGACAATGGCTAAATTCGAAGATGTCATTTTGTTTAGATCTTCACACTCCATAACCCTTACTAAAAATTCCACTAAATATTTAAATAATTCATAGTTTTCTTCAGGCAGTCTCTCGCGTATCAATTGCGTTACATTGCGGGATCTATCTTCTTTAGGCCATTCAAGAAAACTTGTTATTTCTTCGTACAATTCAAATGTTAATAGTGGTTCGGGTAGATCTCTAAGGAAGCTTTTCAATAGACCGGCTATAACATCTTTTAAATCGACATCTTCACCACGATTAACACGCTCCTTCAAAGCTATAATCTCTGAATGATTTCCCGAACGACGGAATATGCCTTCGGTATCAATCATGCCAGTTATCGACAATGAGTCGACACATTTACGTACGATGGGCGGTATTGAATTTAAGCAAGGACTATTTGTAACGATGAATTTCAACGTTACACCAAATTGTGCAGTTTTAGCCATTTGTTTGTGCGTTGACCTATCGTCAATGTTCGAGTTTATAGAAACATGCCGACGTGAATGATTTAGGCTATCATCAAAATTATATATATTATCGGGTAATTTTAATTTCGATAGACCCAATGCCTGCCGAAGTTCATCTAAATTTGAGATGTAGACAAGCTTTTTACGAAATTTTTCACTAATGAATGGACTAAAGAAATTCCATATGACACGTATAAACCAGGTAGGATGGACAACATAAAGATTTTTCAGATTCTTGCGGAAATTGCGATCCAGTTCCTTATACGAGTTCCATAGAAATTGGGCTGATGGTTTGTTATCCTCTTTTAGACCTTGATGAAAATATACCAGGATATAGTCATTTTCAACATAGGGTTCGATTTCTTTAATAATGTCCCGAATAAAACTTTCCATTTGTGATTTTTCCGGGAATCTGGAGGCGTATATACCAAATATGTGGCGTCCTTGTTTGTCGGTACCCAAAAAATCACAGTTTTTTCGTTTTGGTGAAATACTGAAATTTTCATTTTCCTCTCTCAGTTGATCTTCAAAATCATCTTCTAGTGGATTCACAATTTCAGTTGATTCATCATTCGGATCTTCTGCAATAACAAAATCTTCGTCCATCACATCATGTGTTGTGTGTGTAAATGGTACAGCCAATAATTCCGAATCATCAAATTCTAATTTGGGTTCAAAATCATGTAAATCCGATAGACTTGGCTGTGGCTCATCTGAATTTTCTACTATGGGATTTATAGCTGGTCCTGGCAGTCGAGGAATGCTTTGATTATCCATTTTAATAAATAAGATTACTTAGACAGAACTTCTAGTTTTTAAACTCGTTAATTTTCGGCTATCAGTACATAACAACATAGGCGAAAATTACAACAAAGCTACTTTTTTGGAAACTTGATGTGTCAAAGTTGTAGTCAGGGCGAATTGATTTGAAGTACAAAATTTGGGGCAAATTGTTTTTCCAATCAAAATATTGAATTAAAAATTTTCAAAATTGTTGTTTTTTCTATTACAAAAGCAAATATTCAAAACTTCCAACATCGACTGAAAGTAATGCTGAAGCCGCTGCATCTTGGTTTGATTATAGCACGTTCAATACAACATTTTTGAAAATCACAGAGACTGGAAATGGAGTCCACGCGTATTATTTGCTCAGCTATGAAATGTATAGCAGACAGGAAGTCTTTTATGTATAGATAACTTTAATACATTCGAACAATTTGAAATAAAAAAATTATCTCAATATTTAATCACACCCCAAAAATTGCCAATGTTTTGTTCCCCAAACCAATCCAATATGCTTTGGAATCATTCACCTTTCACTGTTGAAGCCCTATATTGTATAACATTGTTTAAAATCCGTACAAATAAGATGATGAAATTCCATGTATCGGTTTATCTCCTATATGAAATTGATTCCCTGTTTCACTTATTTCAAATATCCACGAATTTTAGATCTCCATATTACCTATGCCTACCATATGTTGAATATACACTTTTTCCCTCATACTCTATAAAAACGTAAAATCTCGATTTTCTATCAATAGCATTGTTAAAGTTTGAAATCATGCAACAATTTTCTTATGTGTAAATGAAGGCGAATTCAAATTACAACAATTTTTTGACATATCAAATTGATACAAGCTGGCCTGAAAGGGTTACCTAGTAATCTACCATGAGTGTGCTATTTGTATATAAAAATGAACATTAACTTTTAACGAATTGGTAGCTTTGTTTTCAAAATTAAAATAAATTTTGCAGGTTTAGTAAGTAGTAATCTTTATTTGTAATATTTTTTTTTATATTTTCCCTTTGTGATATCGAAGAAAATTGCAAAACTAGTAGATTCTTGCTGGTACTCAACAGAGCCATTGAGAGGAAGGATATGAGAGCGTTAAAAATTCAATTAATTTCCAGAATATTACCTTTTCCCCGTTTCGGCTTATAAACGCTACCTTATTATTGTGCTCAAACAGCTACTTATCGATAAGTTTTGAATCATATGTTCCGATTGTCGTGCGCAAATTGTAGGTTACAAAACAGTAGGAACTGTTGAAATCATTCTTGCAGAAGAAATAAGGATTTACCCCAAAAGTACATTTCCAAGATGCAAAAGAAACGTATTGGTGGACGTGGTTTGCTCGACAAACTCCACCGTGGTGCCGTCTATGCATGTATCGGTGTTACACTATACGGGACCTTTTTACTTGGCATGAGAGGCTGGCGATACTATACCGTTGTCCGGCCAGAGAGACAAAAGCAACTACTGGAAGAGGGAGCATCAACTCGGAGTGATCAACAGGATACAGCAAAGGAGTTGAAATATTAAAGATAATTTATTTTTTGGTTGTTTCTTAATCTATAAACAATAATATAATTTATGATTACTTTAATATAAAGTACAGTAAAATTAACTAAATTAAGTGGTCGTCGATGATTCTACATGTATTTTGAGAACAAATTTTCGGACTAATCTTATTTGCCGGAGTTGCATGCCTCTGTGATAATGGGATGCAAAATAGTCAGTAGTTCTATTGATGCTGTTGGACCAATGTTATGCTTGCTGAGCCAATTTAGTACTTTCTGGTGCAGTGTTTGTGTTGGGGCGGCGGGTGGTGGCGTAGAACTCTGTGGTTGTCGTTCAGGAACTGTCTTATGATGCAGTGTAGAATTTATAATAGGTTTTATATCTTCAGGTTCTACTTCGGTTGCATCCAACATGTGACCTTGACCACTAATCAAAGGTTTTATGTCCAAAGAGTGATCATTTTGATCATATGAAAGATTGCTGTCTTGTTTGCTTTGATCGTACTCGTCATCCATTTGTTCATCGTCATCAGTGCCATAACATGTCTCTGGAATGTGAGCCTCATTTGTCATATATGGTTCCTCCTCCTCTTGGTTTGGTATATACAATGGTACCTTGCGTTGCAATACATGATTTTCATTAAAGTCCATGTTCATGCGAACTTTCCACTTTTCCAACCAACCGGTAGATGCTTTAAAATCGATGTTCAAACGCTCTGCAATCTCTCTAGCCTTATTTTTTATTTGGGAACGGGTAAGGGTTTCGCCATCATCAATTTTTTTTAAAACCCAAGTGTTGAGTTCAGCTTCCCCACCCTTGAAAATGCCGCCCCGTATACGTTTCATTTGCAGGTTTTGGCCAATAGCAGCCAATTTGAGTATCTTCTTCTCATCAGCTACAATTTGTGACATCGCTGATTGTGAAAGCCGGTATTCGTTAATTAAGTCGTTCCTCTTTTCACCATTTTTTATGCGCTGTAGGATTTCCAGCTTCTGCAGTAATGTAAGAAATGTCTTTTCCTTACGATATCTTCCAGTTCTGGTAAGGACATACACTGGTTCATAGCTATATGGAACTTTTTTAGCCGAAGAAGGAGGTGAAGCGTCGGGGAATGTCGTTGATTGTTGCATTTCACATTTACTAAGGTCTCTGCTGCTATAGTCCATTGAGTAGTGTCCGTGGCCTTCAGTATTGTATCTTGGTAAATCAATTGGATTTTGTAATTCGGAATCGGACTTATTTGTTGGCATTTGACTGTTTTCCTGTTGCATATCAGTTCTTACAAGCAACCCTTTTAAAATATCATCATTCCCATACGAAGTTTCCATTTGTTCCGAAGCCATCGGTCGCCTCCCAAATTGAGGATTTTCTCGTTCCTTCCACTTGAACAGCCAATCAGCTGAGGGAGTGAAGTCTTGTCCTAATGCCCTTGCAATTTCCTGAGCTTTCTCCTGCGCCATTGTAGCTGTTATAATAACATTACTTTGTCTCATTTCCTGGGCCCATTTACTCATGGCTTCGTCAATTTGTTTGTAGTTCACCGGTTCCATATTTGTGTGATATTGCTCTATATTTATAAAATAAACAATCCGAATTTTAAGTTCACTGCACGAAAATTCACGGTTTATTTTAAATCACTTTATGTACCAAATAATTCCTGGAATGAGTAGGCTGCTTTCACTGGACGTTTTGCTTATTGCTTCCAATAGTGGCTGTAATTGAAATATAGTATTATAGCGAATATATTTTTAGTCCAAAAGACGCCCAACCTGTATTTTGTCGTCTTTTCATCCTATGAAAATAAAATACTGGAAAATATACTATTTTTCTATATAAGCGAAAATTATTCTGTAAACAAAATGAATGAATGAAGGTCTTTTCTAATGAAAAGCAATTCACTTCGAATTGATAACTCATGGCATGGTTGCATCGAATGTAATCACTCGTATTGGCGTAAATTATGAAAGGTACAAAATGTGAATTTTAATAAAAAAAAATGATGATTTTTATACAGCTCGAGACTAATTAAAATGAAAACATCACGAAATTGTGTACTAAAAAACCGGTAAATAGTTAGAAAATGGAATATATTTTGCAAATCGCTTGCCATACGTTTTTAATTAAGATGTCACATAACAGGTAGGGGAATGAATCATTTCTCTATACGAATGTGTCTTTTTCTCTGCACAGACATATTTTACAATTACAATGCATATCATTTCTATAGAAAACTATAATCGGTTGCCTTTGGTTAGCGCATGTCATTTCGTATTGTTATCTGAAATTAAAAGTAACTGCAAATAATTTGAAACTGGAAAATAAAAACAAATTACTGGGTGATGAAGTAATGTTGAAGGTAATAGAGGTGTAAATTTTATTATGAACAATATTGAATTTATAATAAAATTCATGCAAATTAAGAACAACGAATCCTTTTTCTGAATTCATTTTATTCATAAAAGAAACAAATATTGTAGTAACTGGAAGTAACGGTAGCAAGTTATAGAAATTTGTTTAAATTCCTAGTTTATTTTTCAGGTGACGCCTGTACGGCAGCACTTACTGTTACCTTATACAATGGGGCCATCATTGAAAGTAAAAAGACATTGTATAGGTAGTGACTATTTATACCCTTCACCATTTCTAACTCCTCGAAATACTCATATCAGACCCAACAAAGTATATATATTCTTGACCAGCATAAAAATCTAAGTCATTTAGCGATGTTCGTCTGTCTGTTGTAATCACGCTATCTTTCGAACGAATTGAGATAGAAAGCTAAAATTTTGCACACATGTTTATTTTTCCAGTAGACAGGTTAAGTTTGTAAATGGGCCATGTAGGTTCACGTTTTCGTATAGCCCCCATATAATGGTACCTCCCAATATTCGGTATTTTAATGATTTTAGCAACATTATTAAACGGAATAGTTTCAAATTTGGCATTTGAAGTTCGTAATGGATACTACAGCCCATTGTACAATGAAGAGAAGGTAGGCCAACTTTGAAAAAATTGCTGTTTGGCTTGTAATGTCAGAATTAGTATCAAAACAATAAAAAATCAAAAAACTTGTTGCATTTATTTTGAATAAGTAATTGAAAACCGCGATAACTGAATGAAAGGTCAGCACTTCTTTTCAAAATCATGTACTATATATCTCTAAAGGATTATTTCGCTACAAAAACTCTAGATTTTGTCGATGCATACGTTGAAATAAACATTTTGAAAACACGCGAATTTGAATATTTTCTGACAATTTTTTTTTGTTATTGAAAAGAAAACACATACATAAACAAATAAAGATGACATATTAAGCCAAAAAAATAAAAAAAAATTAAAATCATATGGTATCCTTGATATCATTACACCATGCTACAGCCTGTGACAGAAAATTGTCTGTTTATGTCCACGTCTTAGTATTGTCCCCATTTAACGGTACCTCCCAATATTCGGTATTTTGATGATTTTAGCAACATTATTAAATTACGTAATTAGAATTCGTAATGGGAACTACAGTTTGTGACAGAAAATGGTCTATGCAGGTGCAGGTCTTCGTATAGACCCCATAAATCAGTACCTTTCTATATTCGGTATTTTGAAGAGTTTAGGTACAATACCCCACAAAATAGTTTGAGATTTTGTATTTGAAGTTCGTAATGGATGCTACAATAGAAAATTGTCTATGCTGGTCCAGGTCTTCGCACAGCACCGATATAAGGGTACCTCCCTATATACGATATTTTGATGATTTTAGCTACATTATTCACCGTTTATTTCAATTTTTTGAATTTGAATATGGTAATGGCTTATGACAAACAATGCCTATGTAGGTTCACGTCGTATAGACCCCAATATAACGGCTATATTCGGTATTTTTAAAATTTTAACAGAATTTTTTAAGGATTTAATTTTTTGAAATACATAACATATTGTAGACAAACACTTGTAGCTTTCCAAATTAAATGAATTCTTTTATAGCTGAAATGAAACCTTTCTAACGCGATAGAATTAATTAATTTTTTCGTACGTATCCATTGTATATACAGAAATCATAGATGGGAACTTATTTGCTATGCAGTGAAATTTGACAAGGTAAATAACAGAAAGTGCAAAGATGGATATGCTTATTTGAAATGACTTCAACTTAGAGTTTGGAGATTTTGGGTCTTGATTTCAAAGCTACTGCAAATGGGTGACAAATGAAGACGAAAACGATCCATTGGCGATAGGACATTCTAATGACTTGTACTCAATTGGAACAGACGTTTTGTTTTTTAATAATGACGAACCAACTCCTAACAAAACCAAAGTCTCGCTAAGTTTTAAAGGCCTTTACCATACAGCAAAAGCTAGAAATATTACAGCGCTTTAAGAGCATAGAGAGCAGGAAAGCCTTTTGTTACAGAATATTATTTATCTCAGGCCGCAATGTCTCAAATCATAGTTGATGAAAAAAGGATAATTAAACTATATTCAGTTGATGACAATCTGAACAAAAAGCGCGTAAAATATGGTGCTTTTAAAAAAGGAGAAGCAGAACTAAATGCATTGGTTATGCAAAAAATAGACAAGGGAGAGACATTAGAGCATAGATGCCCAGTAGTGGCTGATTTCAGCAATTTCAACTCACACGTATTCTTACGCTCTTTTGTTTGATCGCCAATCAACCAATAGGAAAGCAGAAATATGAGTGGGAGAGACAAGCTACACAGGCAGAAGTTCTGTGTAATATTTACATTTAATCGTAATCGAGACTGCTGTTAGCGAACACATAAACTGAAAATTATTGCGATATGTCAATGATGTCATTTGAAAAGCATTTTATGATACAAAATGCTTTTGATGATATGCAATGTTTTATATGTTATAAGACATTAAAAAAAATAAGAAATATAATTTAAAAAAACATTTTGAAACTACTTAAATAAATGCATTTATCAAGAGTATTACTAAAACATGTATATTCATTAATTTTACATTTCATAGAAAAATAAAAAAAATGACGACACCCGCCACACATATGCTTTCGTCGCTATCTCGTTGACGACTAAATAAAATGAATAGAAAAATCTTTTCTTCCAGTGTTATTTTGTCGCTCTCACCAATACTATTACATTGGGCATCTATGCATTAGAGAGACATTAAATTGTACTCAAGTCACAAATAAAGCTAAAAAGATAGCCAATAAGCTTAAGATCAAATTTAAGGCTTCTAGAGGATGGTTGGGGAGGTGTACAATCCGGGTGTGAACCTGGGGTGTGATCAAAATCACAAAGTTCGACACAGTGCCAAATAATGTCGGTGATAGCAGAGTAGGCAGTGGTAGTGATAATGAAGACATAATTAATAGCTATGAAAATATGGATTATAAAATAAATATATACTATTGTGTTGATGACGAAGAACAAAAAGATAAATTTGACAGCTTCGTAACAGACAGTACACCTTCTCTATTGGTGATCGAAATTTTGAAATATCCGAAATAGAAACGGAGGACGTGGAAGACTTTTAACAAAACAAGAATAAAATTAACATAGAAACGAAAAATATGTAAAATTCGTACTGAGGCATGCCTAGAATTAATGTCAATACTGCATTCTCGAATTCCAGAAGTTGGCATAATGATGAAAAATATACGATCGTCCAAGGCATTTGAAAAATACATTGCACTTGCTGAAATAAGTCATTGCAAACTTTGTCCAAGTTCAAAACGACGAATTAATTGTATTCGACATATATGTGGTGGACATCAAATTGAAACATGTACGTAGTGTGCAAATTTATTGTCAATTTCCAAACTGAGCCAATGTACTAACATTTCAGTTGTTGTTGTTGTTGTAGCAGTAGTACATATATGCGTTTGCGTTCTGCTAATCTGGTTCCAGCTCCAGGTTTAGAAATTCGGCTACTTTAACGGGCTGTAGCCAGAGATCTTCTGGAGTGAGTTGGGTAGGTTTGGCTGTGCAATTAAAGAGGTGTAGCGTATTGTGCGTCCTGTATCGCACGCCGGGTAGGCGTCAAGCACATCTTCATCAATTCGTGCCCAATACGAATTGAGACGACTACACCATCCTGAACGTAATTGCGCCAAAACTACCCTGGTTTGTCTAGGCAGCTGACGTTCTTCAGCTGCAATGGATGGGGGGTGTACTCCGAGGATGGCATTCACTTTAAAACTGCTAATAGCATCCGCGACTGCATCGGTGTGAATGCCACTCAGACCTGCCTGATAGGCTTCTTGATCTTGAGGTTCTCTCTTATAGCGCTGGACCTCCCTCTCTAGATCATGTATGTCCTTCCTGACACGCCTGGGTGGGGGAGATTTATCCACCATATGATGGTTGGGATGACTCTCACGGTAACACCCAAGCAGGTACTGCAACGAAAGCATATGATTATGCTGACGTAAGGGAAGGACTTTCGCCTCCTCATGTAGATGGTCCACTGGTGTCATGAGGAGGCACCCTGTCGCAGTTCTCAGGGCAGTGTTCTGGCAGGTCTGGATATGCTTCCACTGCGTAGCACTAGTATTCGCAGACCACACTGGAGCCGCATAGCTGACCACAGACCGACCTACCGCGTTATAAGAGGTCAACAAGGTTTCTTTGTCCGCACCCCAAGAGCTGCCGGCTAGCGCCTTGAGGACCTTGTTCCTACTTTTCATCTTGTCGCAGATAGCTGTGGCTTGCGCATGCTGTCGACTTGAACATGCTGTCGAACGTGACCCCAAGAATCTTGGGGTAGTTCGTGGTCGGTATTAGATTCCCCTCGACCTGAACATTCAGCTGTGTTCTCATCTCCGCAGACCATGTGGTGAGCATTCAGCTGTGTTCTCATCTCCGCAGACCATGTGGTGAAGAGTGTGGCCGTTGATTTCGTGGCGGATATCTTCATATTCCTCGCGTGGAAGTGT